GTATCGGCAGTGCGGCTTCTTCCGAATAGACGGGAAGGAAAGGTCTTATGACATTCGTGAGGCTCCGTTGGGCAGCCACGGAAGGAGGCCATGAGAGGAGCGCATCGCACATGAAAAGTTGGCCCGGGCTCCTGCTAGCAGTAGACCTTCTCGCGAACTGGTTCAATGGGATATTGCGGAGGGACGTAGAAATACGAATTCCGACATTCCTTAAAGCAATGTGAAGATTGCGCATTTCAAGACGTTCCGACGCACGTGACGGTGGCACCAGAATAAACTCGTACACCTGCAGAAAGTATGGCCGGCAAGAGTCCAGGACAGAAGGAGCCGGGAGGCGCGCCTTTTTCAGGACTTTTGACGATCTCAAGTGGTGAGCGCTCTGGGGGTTGGACGCAGTGGAAGGATCCACACGAAATCCTTGTAAGAGACGTGGCCTCTATCGAATCCTCGAGTCCTGGTTAGACAGCTGACAGATTGAGGGGCAGAAACTGGAGCTCGCGATGATCCGGACCAGATATGAAGAAATCTCCAGCTCCCAAGATGACGCCTTGCCCATTACCACGTGATTCCGCGGACTGCCTAGTACAAGACCGGGCAAACACCGGCCCATCAGTTGGCGGGAAGAGCAACGACAGTGGGAATCCTGGAGTCCGCGGAATCCGGTCGATGCTATCGTAGTGGTCGCGGTAGTGGTAATCAACGAGAGCAATGATGAGTCGAACTGCCTGCCTCCGAAACGCAATGACATCGCGTAGCCGCATGATTCCTCAGAGGGGAACTTTGTTGGTTGGAGACGGGGCTCCAACGAAGCGATGAGGAAACACAGATCGTGCAAAACGGTCTGCGAAATATCCATTATACGGAATCTGTCGGCAGACGTGAAGAGGAGCGTCAGGCGTCGGCGGTGACGGTTTCCTTCGGAAGATCGGCAGAGTATGGGCAGGTTCCACCTGTCGCCCTCACAGGTGAAGATGGGAAAATTCGTTAATAACCTCAGGTTCAGGGGAATGAGGCCCATATGTATTACTGTTTTTAGCGTGGGACATTCGAACACGCGTAGCTCCCCAGGCTCCGACGCGGCGCCCTCCGCACTAGCACGGTTTGGAACGGTCCAAACCGTTCACCCCCGCGGCACGTTGAGGCTGCAGATAGGATTTGTGGGGGCATTAATATAAACTCTTGATAAGAAGGGTGAATTGCCAACACTGCGGCGTCCGAGCGTTATACAGCACTCGAGGTGCTCGTGGCTACTAACCTGCAGATTCAACACGGTCGTACCTGGACAGGATCTAACTGGCATGACCGCTTGAAGCTTGAAGCTCTACAAACCGGTGTACACACCTAAGGTGAACCATAGAAGAAGAAGAAGTCATACTACGAAAGACTACGTCTGCGGATAGGATCCTTCCTCGAATCATTCAACTTCATAAGGCCCAAAATTAATGTGACAGAGAAAAGGAAGAGAAACTGGAGGTGTGTCGAGGAGCTGACCAAAAGGTCTTGCGATGATGAAACAAAGACGGAAAGGAAAATGGTACAAAGAAACGCGCGGGTCGTTCGTTGACAAAGGGGCAGCCGAGACAAGCGAAGATGGTATTGTGGCGGGGGACTGCCGAGGATGTAAAGAATCCGCTTGGTTCACACTGTGA